CCCGCCGCGGCGCGCCTGGACCAGCGGCTGGCCGCTGACTAACACCCCCAGCGCCATCCGGGTTGAAGGCTTTTTGCTGGTCAAAACATTGCCCAATCTGGGGTGACCTGCGCAGACGGGCTGGGGCGAGCGGCCCTTTCCTGAGATGCGGGCGATGGCGAAGCTCCTCCTGCCAGAGTCGTGAATTCCAGCGGAGGTCCTTGCTGGAGGACGGGGTGCTCTCTGTCCGGAGCGTAGGGAGGGATGAGAAAAAGTCTTGTTGGAAACCTAAGGGAACTTTTTTGAGGCAGCTGCATACCTGGAAGTGAAAAAAAATCAGTTTATCTAAAGAAAATGATGTGTTGTTTCATGCTTTGCACTTTTTCTTCAGCAGCTTGCTGCTATCTTTTACGAGTTTATTCAATTTTCACATTTAAATACCCCCTTGGGGCGACAGATTGATCCGTCACCCGTTGCACATAGGTAATACTTTGCTGCACGCTCTTCTGCAAGGATGTATCTGAGAAAAGAATACGTTACTCACAGAAATACGAGCTTAGAAAATGTCCGTTGTTGTAAATGTTACCTTGCACTGCCTCAGTAAAAGCCAGTTTACGCTGTTTTTTTCCCTGCCGTTCTGTGTCCGTGCTGGAAGGGCTGTAAACACGCTGTTTTTTTCCCTGCTGTTCTGTGTCCGTGCTGGAAGGGCTGTAAATGCGCAGGTGGCAGTATAGTTCTGGGAGAGGGGGTTGTATATAAACAGCGGCAAGCGTCACCGCATTTCTACTCGCGTGCCGAGATAAACCTACTGGAGTTTTTCTCGCTTGTTTGTTTTCCTTCCAGGTTTGTACAAGAAATCTGGAAAACTTGTGTTCCTGGGCTTGGATAACGCAGGCAAAACCACTCTGCTGCACATGCTGAAAGACGACAGGCTGGGTCAGCATGTCCCGACACTACATCCCAGTAAGTCTGCCAGCGACTGAGCCCTGCCTGCCTCGTGGTGTGGTTTTTCCTCTTTAATTTTGGGAGCACGGTGTTGAAAGGTGCCTCAGTGATAGCTCTGCATTGGGGCGACAGACTTTAAGAGGCTTAAAACTGCATCTGAGGTTGCGTTGGCACGATGGTTGCCCCAGCTGAAATGGATTTGTGTTTTCCTCTCAAATATAAAACGGAGAGCCCGAGCACTGGCATGGTTCAGTTAATACGACGTGCCTGTCTTGGGGAGGGAGTGGGTTTCTAATGAAAAGTGTAATAAAGCGTAATGCAGGTTGGTAAGGTTGTGCTTAAGTAAGGAGGTAGGACAAATTATTTTCTCCGGCATGTGATTTGGTGAAACAACTCTGTTTCAGTGGCTGAATTCTACAGGAAATGCAGGGAATTCCTGAGTTCTACAGGATATCTGATACGAGGAGTGTGTGTGATGTTAACAAGCATCCCCAAGAAATTCTATCCATGACAGCTTCTTTACTTTCCTGCAACACAGCCTGTATTTTTACTTTTCAGCATCAGAGGAGCTGACGATTGCTGGAATGACCTTTACGACTTTTGATCTGGGTGGACACGAACAAGGTAAAAGTGACGTTGCTGAGTGGGAGACACCAAGTGAGGTTAATTTTCTGATTCCGGTGATGTTCTCCAGCCACTTTAAGAAAAATCTACCGAAAAGCGATACTGGAAAGTGATGGCAATTAGCAATACCTGATTATTTGTTGCCTGAAATTGTTTATGGAGCAATATGTGGAATTAACCTCCTCGCTGTAGCGTATCGGTGGTTCAATACTTGTGCTTAATTCTGGCAGTTTGGAAAAAAAATGCTGCCAGTTCATGCTCTGCCACCCGAAATATTTTTAGCCATGGAAGACTTGAATGTCATAGGCTTATTCTTTTGAATAACTGCTGAATTTTTATTTTTTAGACTTTCTAGAAGTCCTAAGAAAAGTTTTTCTGCCTTTTTTTTTTTTTCTTTTAATACACAAAAACGTAGGAAGAAAGAAACCCTGGCTAACAGGGCGGCCTTGGTTGCTGCCACTTACTGACGAAAGCAGAGCGCGGTAACCGGCTCTCCAAACCGCCTGGCTTGCGGCCTCAGCCAGTCCCCTCACCCGAAGGTCTTACGCTGCCTGGAAATCCTCACCAAGAGGGTGGCTCCCGCTTTTGGGTGCCGTTTCCCTGTTGCTCCAGGTAGCGTTTTCAGTTTTCACAGGGGGGTGTTTGTCACTTCTGTGTTCCAGCTCGCCGGGTCTGGAAGAACTACCTGCCGGCCATCAACGGGATCGTCTTCCTGGTGGACTGCGCAGATCACTCGCGTCTTATGGAATCCAAAGTTGAACTTAACGTAAATATACTTTTCTTTTTTTTCCTTCCCCAAGACCTCTGAATAGCTAAATTACAAATAATATTCTTCTTTTTTGGGCTGGAACTTGAGCACAGCGCATTTTGAGAGTCTCGTGCTTTGGATTTGCACTTCCAGTGCACCTTTGACGCCAGCGATGCGGTGTCCAAAGCGTGTGCTTGTAGAAATTTGCACGTTACCTTATGCAGGGACCGGATCAGTATGGATTTGTAAGTATACTCCCCCAGGGCTGGAGAAGCCTGGATGCCCTTACTCTTGAGCAGCCTTTGAAGAAGTTTTGAAACGGCCCGTGGGTTTAGATAGGAGCTGCTTCTGAGAAACCTTTCCAGAGGGACTCCTCTTCCTCAGGAGTGCTGTAGCACCAAAAAATAGCCCTCATTGGTCACAGAGCTTAAAGGAAAATACTTTCTTCAAACGGTGGATGTTTTTTCTGCCTCTGCTTAACTCTTCTTCCATCTTGCACGCAGGCGCTAATGACAGATGAAACAATATCCAACGTGCCAATCCTTATCTTGGGTAACAAAATCGACAGACCGGAGGCCATCAGTGAGGAGAAACTGCGGGAGATCTTTGGGCTCTACGGACAGACCACCGGCAAGGTAGGGAGGCATCCAAACCGTGGATCATCCGCAAGGAAGGGAAGCCTTGCGTGTTTCGTTGCAGAATGAGGCTCCCTCTGGAAACTAATTGGGGCGTTACCGTGAATTTGTCCACAACGTTGACCAAGCTGAATCTTTAATAAACCACCGTCAGGCAGGTTTTTTGCCAGAATTGTGCAAAACACGGTACCTCTGCAGTGATTAGGGAATTAGGTGTCGAGCTGGTGTTTTAACACCTCGTCTGGCTCTTCTGGTCTCGTTACTTTGCGTTTCCATCCAGTTACCCGTCTATCATTTTTTCAGCGTTTAAAAACAGCACAGTTATTGAGAATTGATCAGAAATGCTGGGCGATGGTAGTAAAACGCTGCAAGACTTCTGTTGGCGCTAGCTTATCCGCGCGGTGACGATTGCTTCTTGCGTCGCGCTGCCGAGTATCGCAGGTACATCCGACCGTGCCTCGAAAATGGGTTTGCTTCGGTGTTTCTAAGGCCCCTTCTCCCGCACCGCTGGCTCCGAAAGTCCCGCGGGCAGGTCCCTCTGGCGTGCCGCAGGGAGGGGACATCCCCCTGGGGCCAGAGGGGTTTCCCTAGACTGCTGGTGACCTCTGCGTGCTTCCCAGGGGTGCGGTTCTGACTTCCCTTTGGATTTCCCTAGGGAAACGTGCCACTGAAAGACCTGAACGCGCGTCCCATGGAGGTGTTCATGTGCAGCGTGCTGAAGAGGCAAGGCTATGGCGAAGGCTTCCGTTGGCTATCGCAGTACATTGACTGATACTTGGACGGACACGAGAGTTTTACTCCTCTGGACTGATCCTGTTCGCAGCTTCCTATGGACTTTTCTATTAGAACACGGAAGGCTTTCCAACCGCATACCGGCATTGACAAGAGACTCCTGGTTTTCGGCTGCCCTATCGCACAGTGGTGACACCACTCTTTTCCACGTGACGGGGAGACGGCACCGTTCCGCACGCGGGTGCGAGTTGTCCCTTTCCGTTCGGTTACAGCGGGGCTGGTGTGGTCTGGGAAGTAAAACTCTGCACGCTGCACTGTAACGGCTGAAAAAGAGAGCACGTCTCACCACTGTGGTTAATCGACTTAAAAAGAAGAAAAAGCAATTATATTTTTTAAAGAAAGTGTTAATGTAAACAGCGTCCCTTCTAACTTTTTAGTTTAACATTCATCTTGTTTAGTCCAGAGTCCGGTTAGGGTTTTTTAAAAATATATTTAACAATATTTAGATATTTCACAAATTACTGAACCAAGGTATCACGGTATTAGAAGTCCTCAATAAACATAGCATTTGGGCTTAACTGAGCTGTAGGGTGGCTGTGCTGCGTCACGCTGACCGACGACGAAGAGGGTGCCCTGGGGACCGACGTGCGCCATGGGAGCTGCTTTAGTCTACGGGGATTTTTCCCGCTGGAGAGGAGCAGCCGCGAGTGCACCCGGTTCCGCTGTTCAGATGTGGTGACCGGCGCTCGCTGCCGGCGGGATGGGGCCGCCCGGCTCCCTCG